AAAAAAAAAAAAAAAAAAAAAAAAGAATACAAATGCTTTGGGCCGGCCCCGTGGCGCACTCAGGAGAGTGCGGCGCTGGGAGCACAGTGACGCTCCCCCCGCGGGTTCGGCCCACGGTGCGGGCGACACCAAGCCAAGGGTTGCGATCCCCTTAGCGGTCACGAAAAAGACAAGGAAAAAAAAAAGAATATAAGTGCTTTTCACAGTGGGGGTATTTACCACTAATTGGCATTTTCTTACATGCAAAAGGAGATACAAAAAAGAAGTAAAACTGTGACTATCCTTTTATCACACTGTAAATTTTATTATCGTCTGTCTCTAAAGTTCACAAAAAATTTTTGCCTCCTTTTTTTCTCACATTTTTTCTTCTACTCTTACATAAATGCCCATTGAATTCTTTTTCCTTCTCTTTTGTCCTTAATTTTTTTTTTATTCTCCGTCCCTTTGTGTCTTTTGTGGGGAGGAAAAAAATTAGACAAGTACATTCGATGATTACCGGCTTCCAATCAGGAATGTCTATTTCAAAGCTCTTCTTAATCTAAGCAGGAAGATATCAAAAATCAGCCGTAGTCTCTAGTAGTGTTCTGTCGGAAAGAAAGTGAACGAAACTAGTATAACAATTATTAGACTGTTACCATTTCTTTAGCCTTGACCTTTTGGTAATCCATAAATAAGTATCATTCAAATTTGACAGAAGCAAACAGCAATCTGATAGAAATATTATTTTTATTGAAGTCAAAAAAGTGGCTTTTCTTAGCTGTTTAATAAAATTGGGCTTATTAAGAAAAGTAAATGTTGAGTTATGCCAGAAGAGTCTTATCCACACGGCAAGAGCTATAAGCTAATCTGCTTGGCAACTGGTTCATCATTTAGATAAAAATGCCTATACTTAGAAAGTTTTTTTTAACATAGATAAATTTAATTTCATTTGACGTGGACTTTTATATTAAAATGTTTGACTGTTCATTCAGTGCCTTTTTCTGTTGTCTCTCTCCAGGAAGCAAATAACGTGGATAAAAGCACAACAAAAACAGAGAGTGCTCGGCTCTTCAGGATGTGGTATGGCTTTGACCACAAGTATCCTTTGATAACGATCTCACGGGTCCTGCTGCATGGCAGAGAATGGCCTTGAGCAAGCACTTCATCACTGGGGTGAGCACTCCCGCTCTCCAAGAAACACAGAAAGGTAAAGCAAATTCACAGCCAAACTTACAAAAAGGAATGATTTGCATAGAGCTGGAGTGAAATTTTTAGTCAAATGTACTTGGTGTGTTCAGGGCAATCTAATATTTTCTAATGCCAGACGACAAAAATCTTATAGTGCTGAAAAATCTATCTATTTTACTGTTCTTTCCTTTATAAAGATCTTAATTCTGGTTTACTCGGCCAAATAGGCCTGCCTGACTGAGGGTGTTGTGTGAACAGTCTCAGCAGCCTTTGGCCAGGGCAGCAGACAAAAGCTCCTGCACCCTCCTCCCAGGAGCCCACCTGTGTGCTTTTGTTTCCTGCTGTACAAAATGAAGGGGTGGGGGCAGCAGGTGAAAATGAATGGGCTGAGGAGAATGGGTCTGGCTCATCATAGTATAAAACAGCACTGTTTTGTTCTCCAGGCAGACTTGAGTAAGCTTTTTCCAGTCAAGGTTAATTTTAAAATTCCAGCCATCAGTGTAAGCAAAGCTCAGGTACACCTTGCCATGTGATTCTAAGGGTTGAGAAGCCAGGCCTGAGCTGCTGTGCTGTTGTGAGTTGCAGGAAGCGCCCGTCTCTAATCCCAGACAAGAGCACCAAGGCAGGAAGGAAAGGACTGAGCTCGAAGGACTGAACTCGAAGCTGCTGGGTCTTTATAGCGGTTTCCCACAGTCCCTCTCCTTTCAGTGAGAAAATGTCAGTCACTGGATGATTTTAAGCACCTAAGCAGTAATGAAAGCCACAGCAGATTGGTGGGAAAGGAGGAATAATCAAGAACAGGGAAAAGGGCCGGCCCGGTGGTGCACTGGATAGTGCGCCGCTTGGGAAGCGCGGCGGCGCTCCCGTCCGAGGGTTCGGATCCCATATACAGACCGGTTCCTGCTCACTGGCTGAGCGAGGC